TGAGAAAAGTTGAACAATTCAAGAGAAAACAAAAAAAAAAAGAAAAAAAAACCAAAACGGAAATTTATTGGCAAAGTTCCAAAACTCAAGGGCACAATATTCGACTTATTTAAATTTGTTTTATATAGTTATTGTTTTTCTTTTTAACTCTCTCTCTTTTTCTTTCTTTTTGTTATAGCGGTGAAATTTGTTTTCTTTCATGAAGCTTTTTTTCCACCCCATTCCACATTATACGTTCCTGTTCCTGTTGTTGTTGTTGTTGTTGCTACTTCTTTTGTAGTTGCTATATCATTTTTAGTCAGCCACTTTGTTCAGAAAAATAAAAGGAAAACTAAAGGTAGATTATAATTTTGGTTGAATGATTTAGTAATCATTTTCTGACTTATAAAAAGATTCTGAATGATCAAAAAAGAAAAATTTTTCCTTTTAGTTGTAATCCTTGTTTTTTTTTCCGCTAAAAAATACAGGATAAATATTATTTTAATTCTTGTTTTCTTTTTATTGTTTTCATCCTTTTATTTTTTGATTTCTGACTATCAATATCAGTTGTGTTTGTATATTCAGAAAAATTTCGGCTTCAGTAAACACATTTAAAATTTTAAAAATATTATAAAAATGTTTTATAATGAATTTATCCTCTCTTTTTGCCTTCTTTCTATCCCCGCTCGCTGCCTCTGTTTTTTTTCCTAATGATTCCCGTTTTCTTTTAAATTTTTTTTTATCCAGAAACTTCTAAACCTGATCTTTTTTATTGTTTAAATTATAAAATGTAAAAAGATACTTTAAAAGGTTTTTTTCATTTCAAATTATTAAGGATATGGAGAGCAGTCAGTTTTTCATTTCTTTACAAAGCTTTTGGAGCAGTGGTGTCATATTTTAAGGGAAAATAAAGTGCAGTTCAAAGTTTGTAAAATTAAATGTAATAATTTAATTGCAGAACTTAAAGGATCTTAGTCTGGACTAATATTTCCTGCCATTTATTGTAGTGGGTAGTGGACGTCTCTGGAAACGATATTGAAGGTGTTTTTCGAGTTTACTGCAAATTCATTAATTGAACGAAATTTCGGCCTATATTGACAACTTATTTATTTGATCTAGAAACGTAAATACACTCCTCTCTGGAACATCTTTAAATATCTGTGTGATTTTTCGGAGCCGATTTAAAAATGGTTTTATAGAGAAGTAGGAAGATCTTGAAAGTTAAATGACATCTACCAGGACTCTAATGAATTTAAATTTATATTTCATTAAAAAAGTTGTATGGGGAACCAGAAGACAATGTAGAACTGTATAAACTTTTCTTTTCACACTTGTGTTTCGATAATATTGCAAAATATATCAAATTTTTTTCACACATTTCGGGAGCTTTAAATGAATACCGTTAAAATATTATGTGCCTCTTCTAATTTTCTGAAACAGAACCGAAATCCTTAAAATTTTTGAAATAAAAATTTATTTAGAGTAATTCAATATGACATCCAATTGGTTCAGTTTACGAGTATGTACACATTTTGAAATATTGCTCTACATTTCCGAATATAAGAAAAAAAAAAATTATTGTCATTACTTTTTTAAAAAATTCTTGATGGTAATTGAAAAGTAATCGGCAGATCAGACAATAATTTTTTATTTACTCCATCAGTTTTCTTTTTTTCAAATATCTTCCCAAAAATTAATGTTACATTTAATCCATTTTGAAAGGTTAAAAAAAAATCATATTGTAAGGAACAAGGAACAACAACAAAAAAAAAACCTTTTTAAAAATATAAAATCGAATATCCTTTTACATACTTATCCCCTATACATACTCCATTATTTGAGGAAAAAATGAATCTTGAAAATATTTAACTTTTAAACTTAACAATAATTTTTAAGTATTTGCAAGAAAAATAACGAATGGAGAACGACCGAATTGAATTGAATGTAAACTCTAATTTTAAGGAAAGAAAATATAAAAGAAGAAGCAAAACGTATTATCCTTTTTTTTCCTTCTCTACAATTGATTGGATACGTAATTCAATACACACAAGTTAAAAAACACAGACAATATTCTTAAGTCATTTTATAAAATTGCAAAAAAATATATTTGTTCTGTTTGACGTTACATATTACAAGCCCTAAAACACATCCCTACATGGACATTTTTGATTCTAAATCGAAACCGATTATTTTAAATGTGCGGTTTTATTTTTTCCTCCATTATAAATTAATGATGGTCATAATTCAAACTGATATTGAAAAAGTAATCGTTACGATTATAAAAGATTTTCTTGAAAATTGAATGGAAAAATTTAAAATTGAATAAAAAGAAAAGAATAATTTTTGGTCTTTGTTAGAATTAAAATACCCGCCTATTCTAAATAATTTTGTTTTAGATAAAAAATAAAAGATTTAAGAGAGGAAGAGTACAAGACCTTTTTCGAAAATTACGATATTATGGAATCAATTTTCAAAAACGGTCAGTGAATAAAAATTTTATAGAATTTCTCGAGAAGTTTTCAATTACATTCCGTCATATTTTTTCATACGAAGTGAAACCAATAATTGTTTGAGTTTTGCTTTTAAAAATTTTTGTTTTGTGGCCGGGCACATTGCAAGATCAAATTTAAAAAAAAGTCTTCAAAAATAGTTTTTACGAGTACTATGTATGACCGTAATTGTTGAATTTTTTTAAAACCCTTAGCCGACCCTGGTATAGGAAATAGTGGATACAGTTGACAAATCAATTATGTATTTATTTGCCATAGTATTCCATATGTACAATAAAATTAATCATTTATTTCAAAATACTTGAATTCTCTAGTAAAAAATTCATTAACTGACGGTGAACATGAAAAAATTTACTTATAAATCAATTTAAATCAGGAATATAACATGCGTCTTATGGAGTCGCAAATGTTTCCTTGTTGCAGATTTATACATACTCGTACATCCCGAGAAATTGGATTTACCGTCTATAGGATGTGCATGCGGCTATAATCAAGAAAAGCAATTAGAAAATTTTCAAACACTATGCAGGTATTGTGTAATCCTAAGCGTAATTTTTATCGATTTCTCTAATAGATCCTAACCTGCTGACTGAATTGCCTCAGTATTTTCTGGATAAATTCTCCAAAATAAAATTTATTCGACTTGCATTAAATCAACATGATTAATCTCAGAATTTATTTTATAATTTGAAAATATAATAAATAAATGTTGAAGTTTAAGGTGAAGGTTGAAGTAAAGAGATTTTGGATGTAAATTTTAGGTTCTTTGGTAATCAAGAAAAAATTTTTTAAAACTTCAGGTTCCGTGTAATAGGAAATTTTTTGTACAAAACTTTAATTTAATTTCGTATTTTTATATTTGGACAACGTAATTTTTTGTATGAATCCGAAGATCACTTAGTTTCCTACAATTTTTTTTCGTTTTGTTAGAATTTTCCAATTATTTTTATTTACCAACACAATATATTGTTGAATGCAGTCATTTCTGTAAAAATAAAAAATAAAGTAGAAAAATAAAAATTTTTAAAAAAAAATTTTCTACAATGAAAGAAATTTAAGGAACAATTAAAAAGTTTTGAAATTAAATTGAATGGAAACAACTTTCTATTTGATTAAAATTGTGTTCTTGAAAGATAATAGAATCTATTGGCATTTAGTTCAATTAAATTTGTTCATTCAGAATTACATACTTATATAAGAGTGAGGGTCACCTTGACCAGCCTCTAAAGGGTTGAGTTTGGATACTTATTGTAATTACGCTTGCTAAGTTGCATGGAATAAAGGTTTTTACTAATCCGGATAAATCCCTTGTTAAGTAACCTATTTCGAATTCAAAATACTTTTTCAATTATTGCAGATCTTTATAAAGAGAATATAATTAATAATTCTTGAAAGACTCATGAAATTATACGGAATCGGAAAATAACTCGTTTGATTTCAAGCATTGTGGCTTGTACACCTACATTAAATAAAAATAAAAATACCCACATCGATCATCATCCTGATACTGTTCAAACGCGCGACGTCAGTTAGAAAATTTCCAAAGAAGGTAAAAACAACTTGTTCCTCCATTTTAAGCAAATATCTCCGATAGCTCAGTTGGCAGAGCGGTGGACTGTAGAATGACTTGCTTCTTAAGCATAAAATAAAAAAAAATTTTTTTTATTCACTAAATTTTATCAATTTCTTATAAAAGTTATGAAAAATATTGCAAGTTATTAAAATTATGAAAATTTCTTGTTCTAAATTTTAACATGCAGAACAATATAAAGTTTGTTTGAAAATTACGGAAATTTCAGAAAATATGAAGAATATTTAAACTAAATGTCTAGATTCAGTTATAAATTATAAGGAAATAATGTAAATAATGGCTTTAGTATGTAGTAAACAGTGGAACGAATTTAAATAGAACTCAATATTTCATGTAGTTGACCGGAAAAATGATAAACTCAGGTACGACTCCTCGGTATTATTGAAATTTGAAATTAACCATCCGAAAAGCATGCGTGTGTTGTTTTGCAGCGGAATAAGTTTAACCTAAAGCGTATATATTAGGTAGTCATTAACCATCAAATGAACCCTTTATTTTGGGAGATAAGTAGAGTAATTTGACAAATAGAAATGTTTCGAATGGGAACAGCGTCTCAGAGGTATCTCAGAGGTATTAAGCACTATTCAATTTTGCAAAAGAAACTTTTTTTGCGTTAAATTCTACAACAATATCAGATAGGCACTCTTCTTCAAAAACTCACTACCAAAATTTCACTCTTTGTATACAAGGTAAATTAAGACTTGGTTTTATTGTACAAGAAATAAAATTATAATTTTTTTATGGAGTTCTTCTTTTAGTAACTCACTATAAATTTAATATTTTTTTAAAGCCATTAAATTTTCTTTCAAAAATTTATGCTGCAATATTAATATATTTATAAAGTTAATATTAACGTGTATACTTAAATGGTTTATTATCAAAAAATATAATATATATTTTATTTTTTTTCCTATTTTCAGAGTAAATATTCAAAATGCATTCGGTTGGTATTCATTCAGCATTAGCCATAAAAAGGCAACGAAAAAGACGTGATGAACAGAAACGTGCACGCGAAAGACGTTACAGTATTCAAAGCTCAGAAAGCTGTGATACGTTACATTCACCACATGGTTCAACTAGAAGAAAATTTCATCATCATTCACACACATCTGTAAAACGAGTTAATCCAATGATGGAAAGCCAGGTAAGAATAAAAGAAACATAAAAAACCATAATAATATAAAAATTATGAAAATTTAATTTTTTTCTTGAATTTTTTATTTATTTTTTTACATTTTTTAAAAATATGTGAAAAAGAGAAAGAACGTAAATTATGTGTTGGTATATCTCACCCTCAAAATATGCAATAATAATTTAAAATATCAAAGATACTAAATTAGTACCGAAGTGAACAGTTTATATAAAATTCACCTACAAAACAAAATGGATCAAAACATTGAAAATTAAAAAGTAAGGGATAGGTATCAGCAAACAGAGTAACGTTGGGGCACTGTGGACTTAGGGGTAACGATATTGCTGACGTGTTGTTACGGATGGATCTGATAGCTTTTCGTTCGGGCCGTCCCTTTCTGTTGACTGTTAGTGTTTGCCATTAGGGGTAAATTTGTCGTTCTGCTTAAGGGGGAGTCAAGTTTTCGCTATTAGGCTACTGGGGAATGTCATTATCCGAAGTTGTTTTTTCCCTTCCACTTAAGAAAGTTTTTATCGGGGCTATTGTGGATTTATCAAAATCGGATTCGTGCCATTATTGAATTCTTTATCGGGCATTATCCGGTAAAATATCATCTTTACAAACTGCGAAAATCTGGATTGCCATTTATGTAGATTTTGTCGAGATAGTGAGGAGATGAACATGCATATTTTTTTTGACTGTTCTGCTCTGGCCGTCAAAAGGCTCGGATGGTTTGGGTGGATCTTTCTCAGTGTTACAAAGTTCGCTTTTTAACTTGAGGAATATCTTCTGGTATTTACCTTATTTACCACCGGGATATAGAAATTCACCCTAATTATAAAAATTTGGCCGGATTTTTATAAAATAATATACACTTACGGGTGCGAGATAACGATACATATTTATAACATCGTAAAATTATTACATGTCGTAAAATATAATTCTACATAACACGATACTATTAAATGAGCCCCTGACTGTTTTACATATTAAATTTATGAAAAAAAAGAGCAAGAAATATTACACCAAATTTTTAAAACAAGTTATTTTAAATTTAACTTGTTTTCATCGCATAGCTACAGTATCTTACCTACATTACAACAAAATATTTTTGACATTCAGAAATACCGTCAAATTTGAGAACTCTAACGAATGTGTATTTATGGTAGATTACAAAAAAATTACATATATAACGTACACAATGTAAAAGCTACTTACTTTTGTAATTGCTATTTAAAAAAAAGAGAAGAACAGAAAAAGGAAATATGAAATTTCAACTTAATTACTGTTAAATTTTCATAATTGAGGGCGCATATAAAATTAGTAAAAACTGATATTATTATGTTATACCTGTTGTAATTTATGATGAAAATTATATAGACCTTAAAAAAGTAAAGTAAAAAAATAATCTAATATTAAAAGGATTATTTTCATTCTAGCGAATTTTATAATCGGGTACGTATTAAAGAGTTATTATGTATGTATGTGCGCACGTCAAAGGTAATATTTATGTAGGTTTCAAATATTATATTTTTTTTTAAATAGAATTAAAGATATTTAGGTCAGTGATTTTAAAATAAAACGAAAAAAGAGAAATTTTTCTTTGGTTTTTTTTTTACATATAAAGTATGTCGCCATATTTAGGTGATCGCATATTTTCAAAATGTTACACACTATAGCCTATGCTATATTCAATGTTATTTAAATTTTCTTATAACAACTCTTTTTATATGCACGCTATATAGTTGGTATACTGATTAAAATATTACCGTATCATAAGAAAACAACAGTAATTAAATACACGCATAATAAGGTCACATCAATACAAAATACCAATGAAAATTAAATTGAACACTAGCTGACCCGACAGGCGCTTTCTCTTCGAATAAATACTTGAATAGATAATGAGAGTAACATAATGTTTATTGTAATGTTTTGTTTTTTGGGTTGTCAGTACATCATAATATTGATAGCACTTGAATGATATAGATTTTCGATTTTGATATAACAAATACCTAACGACTGCCCTTTTGATGTATTTATTGACATTTTAAGTACTAGTTGTATTGAAAACTGTAAAAGTTTAAAAGCGGATAGCAACTTATTCGGAGTCATACGAGCTATTATGAGAAAACATCGCTCTCCCTTTTTCAACAGCATTGCGATGAGTTAAATTTTTAATTCGGTAAAGGTACAAAAATGACCAAAGAATAAAATGTATCCGGACTTTGTTTTAACATAAATTTCGTCATTATCAAGATCGTTCAGAATTTTTATTTGTATATTAATTTATTATTTTCACGTTCTTCCATAAAATTGACAACATCAAACATCCTGTTACTTCATCAACTGTGGTTAATCGTAGAAAGCTTCTAGCAGTGTTTGTCGGAATGGGTCATCGGATGGCCAAAGAATAGCCAGGTTGGTCATCTCGTAAATATTGCATTGTGCTGTCAAATGCTACCAATAATTTTTTGTTTGCTATTGTTCATTCATCTGAGACAACCAATTTAATTCCCTGTTACACATCAATCCATCGATCTACTCTCGAAGGGTTATGTTGCACTAGGCTCCAAATTAAAATTGAATGCAGCCTGATGAGTATCAAATGCGTTATTTCTAGGCCTCAATAAATTCATAATTATTCAGCGTATTTAGTCACTGCCATCAATTTTTCAAGCTTATTTCAAACATTTTTCTTATATTCCTAGTCTACTGCTTTATTTTTAACTTCTTTACTTCTTTATTCATTTTCCAACACTGATTTTTATCAATAAAATTATATTTAAAATTTTTATTTGAATTGTAATAAAAATTGAAACCAGCTATTAATTTAATATTAAATTCAGAATTAAATATGGGTTAAAAGGGCTATAAAACGAATTGAAAATGTCATTGCAATTTTTAAATTCATAACATTAATAACTCTTAATGGTTATTTTAATGGCTCAACATTATTATAGTATATAAGCAGTAGAACAGCGAAAATTCCAATATTCTAAGTTGTCTTTGAACAAGAAGAGAAGAAAAAAAATTATGTTATTTCATTCTGTTTTTGAATTTAGGACAATTTATTTTAATATTTTAAGTTAATGTGAATTTATAGCAGTTTATAGTTGTATTGTTACTCTTCTAACATTCTACATTTACAATTCAAATTAAATTTCCTCTTCTGTAAAAAAAAAAAAAATGAGAGGAATCAGTTGGTGATGATTTAATTTGAATAATTTTTCTGTATTTATGAAAATTTTTAACAAAACGTGGAAGTTTTATATTTAGGCAGGTCTTGTCTGTAAGATACTCATATTAGAAAGTACTGCATATACATTGGCTTTTAAGGAGAAGAATCGCCATCAGAGTTGCTCAGTATAAAATAAATCAGTTATCATCCCTAATTTAATTACTGTATTGCCATTAAACAGAGGCAGAAGCAAAAAGCAGTTATGAGGCTGATTTGGACTTCGGTCCATTCTTTTGGGTAGTTTTTATTTCTTTCACAGTATACCAAGTTTTTCTAGGTCTGCCTAACTTTCATTTACGATTTGGGTTCTTTTTAAGAATCTTTCGTGAAATATTGCAACTCTTCAGAGAATTATTCTGCTCCTTTCGCTTTCTCTTATATGCATGTGTACTTGTTCTTACAAGGTCATGTCTCAATCATCTTTGTTACTAATTCTTCTTGGTCAGAATATTCCGTTCTTCTTTATTAATCACATCTTGCAGCTGTTGACGTAAACGGATTTGATACAAGTGCCGAATACTTTTATTTTCTGTACCAATTATGAACTATTGCCAGGAACATTTGGCATTTGAATTCACTTTAGTCAAAAATATTCATTGATTTATTTTCTTGTACAATTACGTGGATGCTGAATTTTTTAAATTAATTTATGCGAAAAATTTTAATATTTAAGCGAGCTCTCTAAATCGAAAGTTATTTAATTGAAAATTTAAAATTCAAAAATTTTTTGAAAAAATATTTTAATTTCCACAGCTGCCTGTTTTTAAATTGCGCATTTTATTTATTTGTTATCCTCGCTTATTTTTTAATTAAAAATCTTGCGAATCTGTAAAAATTTAATAAAGTAGAAAATTTTTATGATTTAAATTAAATAAAATTTTTAGGATATTTGGAATTGGTTTATTTATGAAAATTTTATACCGTGTATTCACTAGAATTTGTTATAACAGTTCGGCGGTTACTTCTCTTTAATTTTTTCCGGCGAATTCTGATTGTTTGTTAGGGTTAAGGTCGCACCTGGGACGGTTGATTTTCACGACCTTAGTGAAATATCTGCTTATTTTGAAGACCAGTGTGATGTACTCTGTTCCGAATGCATGAACATTCGCTCAAGACGATCTTAATCACATTTGCTGCTGGTGTAAAAACAATTGTCTAATTTAAACTGATAATCCAGTCACTTAAAGTAGATTATATTAAAAAAAAAGCCCAATTTTTTTTACAATCTACAATATTTTTTCTCTATTTGATGTTAATGAATTTTTATTTTTATTACTTAATATAATAATAATGTGCTATTATATTATTACATAGACACAAAAAATATATTTTATATACACACAAATGCATTTGTTTTAGTACACATTTCTACCATGTCTCATTTCCTCTTTATGTCTTATTTTTAAATTTAATGGAAAAATCTTATATAACATTTAAAAAAATAAAAAAATTTCATTTTATCTTCATATCTACACATACTTATATACGATATATATATATTTTTTATTATAGGTGGTTACCAGCATTGGAATGCTCCATATTGGGGTTGTTTTTATCGTTTTTGGTGTCTTTTTATTAGGAGCTGGAATTATACCAGATGATACACCATCATGGGATATTTTTGGTAATTATTTTCTTATTTTTTTTTGCTTCTTCTATTATATATATAATAAAAACTATCATATAATAAAGTATTTCATTAAATGTACATGACTAAATATTAAGGAGAAAAGAGCAAATGTTGAGAACGAGTATTTTGAGTATGTATTTAGTATATGAATAAGTAGGATCGAAAACGATTATCAAGAATTTTGTGTTACTATATAGGTAATGCATAATATGGCTAACAGTAGATTAAAATTGTAGAGCTTAGGTTCTTAAGAAATAAATTAGGTTAAAGGAAACGATATTTGAAATAGATTTGAATATAAAGTAATATTTAAAGGCTATTTAGTAAATACTATAAAATATTCTCATTATCTAATATACGGTAAGTGTGACATGAAAATTATCTATGTGACAAAGTTGTAGAGAATGATGTAGTTTATGAGCAGTTAATCCTTGCAAACGGTAAGACTGACATTGGCCATTGGCATACCATTATTTAGGTATATCAATTGCAAAAAAATGTTGTGAACAATATAATACCCTAGCTTCAATAGCTTCGAAGCTATGGTATTATATTTTTCATAACTAGGGTATGAATATTTGGAGCTTCAATAGCTTTGAAGCTATGGTATTATATTTTTCATAACTAGGGTATGAATATTTGGAAGTCAGAATTTTTTCAACTTGATTTTCTTTAATCCCCGAAACCACTCCTAGACGTTCGATTTCGCTCTCCCTACCCATATGATTTTTTTGCTAAGAAACCACAACAAGAACCGGAATATAGCGGAATGATTTTTATTAATTAGGGCTACTTTTTACCCAAGGCTTCTAAAGCTTTGGTAAGCTTGAAATATTTACACTGGATTTTTTGTTCCGGAGGATTTCCATCCATATCTAATGCACTTATTTAACTTATAAACTCTAACTTGTTTAGAAAAGCTTTGGAATTTTCAATTTGCATATACACGTAAGAAAAATTCTTTATTTTTGATTTTATGCAAATATTTTACGATTTTTTTTTTGGCTTTTCTCTATTGTGTAAATTTAAATTTTAAATTTTTTTTTATTTTTTTTTTTTTTATAAATTTCATAAAAAGTTTTAAAAATAATTTTCTCTCATACATTCATATTAAAAAAGCTTGTAGCAACAACAACAATAAGACAAAATAAATTTTCTTTTTTGTGTTAAATATGAAAAATAACAAAAAAAAAAAGAAATGTTCGCATTAGCATTAGAAAAATCAGCAGGAGTTTATATAAGAACTCTGATAAGGACATTCACTTCAACTTGTTTAACATGATCTCTTGTATAACATTTTAATGAAAAACAAAAGAAAAAAAACAAGAAAAATAGGAAAAACTTTTTAAAAGGAGAACTAAAAATTGTTTTCGTTCTGGTTCTTGTTCTGCGTCTACTTTTATGAATAACTTATTCACACAAAAAGCTGATGGAACCTTAATTCACCTGTCTTGTTTCATTGTCGCAAAATAATTTTTTTTGTTTTGGTTTTTTTTTATCATTTTTCGCCTAAAAGTTTTTCCTTCTTTTTCTTTTTGTTAAGAAAACATCTTTTGTCGCTTAAGTAACAAAATCGGTGATCCCTACTTTCTTGTATAGTTTTTTTTTTCATTTCTTTTGTTATAATAATTCTGCTTGCATGTTTCTGTTTATATAATTTCCAACATTATTATGTCTCTATATTCTTTTTTCTGCCTTTGCAAAACAATAAAAATGAAGAGAATTTTGAGAAACATATGAAAATGAACTATAGGGTTGTTTTATAGAGCAGTGTAATTATTTTAAAATGACATTATGCAGTGAATAAGGAATATAAGGCGTAGTAAGTGGGCGGTTTTCAGTGGGTATTGCCAAATTTTAAAACTGCAAAGTCAAAAATACAATATCCGAAAAATTTAGAAATCTCTTAGAAGTTCCTATCATTTCCAATAATTAAAAGTCTTGCCGTCCACAGAAAATTTAACATTTTTATTATTCACAATCATATCTTAAGCAAGGTAACGCCTTCGTCAAATTATTTTCCGAATTGAATTAAAATTTCCAAAATCGTAAACAATGAATTTTATAGTTGTGTACGAAGAATAAAATTTTGAAACGATATTTGTTAATTTTGTAAAATTAAGAGATTATACACCTCATTTGACCTGATCTGTCAAAAATGTGAACTGTCAAAATAATTATTGAAAATTATTTAAAAATTAAATGATAATTTTTTTCACCGTGTGAGACACGCCGAAACTCCAAGATTGTGAATGAAATATTAATTCAGAATCTTTGAGCCGGACATTACATTTCAACTGCTTGGCTTTAAATTTTAACTCATGACATCACAAGCGAATCAGCAAACTAACTGTATATAGTAGATGATAATGTTGTGTGTCATAGCATGAATATAAAAAAAAACTCTTTATTCTTAATTTCCTTTTATGCGAATGTTTTGAATGTGTGTCTTTGCATTTTATTATTCTAAATTTATTTTAGTTGTATATAAAAAATAAAGTTAAATTCACCTTTTAACCCTCTCAGGTATAGTTATTCTATATTATTTGCACGTTTAAAATTAAAAAAAAAAGAAAAAAAAAAGAAAAATTTTCATTTTTATTTTAACATTATAAAAAACTTTCCATGTTTTTATTATTTTTTATATAGCTTCATTATCGCATACCGTGTAATAAGTTTTCCCTCAAGGAATCGCAAACTGAATAGTAAAATAAAAAAAAATTAACTATATAGAAATATATAAAGAAGTCAAGAATGATTGAATAACAAAATTTAGACCAAAAAAAGAAAAATTTCTATTAGAATTTTATTTTTTTTAAGTTTTTAAAATTCTATATAATAGAATTAAATTTTATTATAAAGGGGGAGGGAGATCAGTTCACAAGGGATCTAACAGGAAGTCAAGAAAAAAATTGAAAGAATGACGTCAATGGTTTTGGAAGGTTGTTTTGCATTCAGCCGGGGTAATAGATGAGAACAGGCAACGTTTTAGCCGTGAAAAAATCGCGAGCAATTGTCCGTCACAAAATATTTTATTTTTAATGGCAGAATAGATCTCGAATAGGTGCTGTAGGCGTGATGAAAGGTTTGGTGGGAATAATTAGGAGTTTTGGTTCTTATTTATTTTAGAGAATAAAATTCCTTAAAATAATATTATGAAAGCATGTATGAGTTATATTTGTCTCTGCAGCTTGGGGTTATAGGTTTCAAGTATTTTTAAGAAAAATATTAAAGACTCAACCGAAAATTTATTACACTAATTGATTTTATTCCTTTATTTCTATAATTTTTTTGTTCTAAAATTTTTTAAGGTTAATGTAATTAAATCTTAACTTTAATTTCCATTAAATTTAAAAAATTACAAAATCAGAAAAAAAATAAAATCAATCATATTAAAGTAAAATTTATGTTCACTTGTCAGACTTGAATGCGGGACTCAAATTAGGGTTATATACAAAAAGTAGAATGAAAAATATCTAGACTTATAATGTTCTAAATACCCTTAATAATGAATTAAACAGGAGTTTTCATTATCATTAATCATAAATTTTTTTTTTTAAATTATTTCTGTCCACACCTTTTTTTTGAACTAAATCGTTCCAATTTTTTATAAAATATTTTTTTCCATCTTACCACTAACTATACTTTGATTAAGTTTTGGTACTTGACAGACTAAAAGCAAAAAGCGAAAAAAATAATTCTTCTTTATACCGTTAATTTATCATTGTAGCACGTGTATAATCACACCGTTATAAAAAATTTACCCAAAAAAAGCAAAAATATTAAATAGGGACAAGTAAAGTTTGTTTATTACTTTTGGTTCTTCTTTTTTAATGATGCAAATTCAAGAGCCCTTCAAAAATTTTACCTTTCTTTGTACCAGTCCTTATTTTTATTATTATAGCCGTATATAATAATAAGAGAAATTAAATATTCTAAAGACAGCAGCAACATTTTTTTAATTGTTCTTTCATAAAAAAAGAAAAAAAATCATAAACAAGATGAATTGTTTATGCTTCAGTTGTAACTGTGCGCGGGATGTTAAAATTTAGATAACCAAAATTGTTGTCAAAAGAATGTCAAAAAATAAAAAAATATTTTTAAAAACTTTCTTTGGTATTTCTGAATAAATGACATGCTGGTAAAACAAAACAAAGTTTTGTGCATAAATGCAAATCAGAGATTTTAAATTTGTTTTTGATTTACCTCCTACTTGTAACACTAAATTTTTGATACACAATATGTATAACCGGGCATCTCACGGCAATCAGTTTGAATGCCCGGTTATATACATTGTACAAATGTAAAATTTTGTTAAAATTTAAAATTTTAAAATAATTTTAATTTCTTTTTATTATGTTTAACAGGATCAGGTAGCACGTGGTGGAATGAAGTAACATGCACTGGTTTATTTTCATTTGGTTTAGGTGTATTTTTATTAGTTTTAAATTGTTTAATTAGCCGTAAAGAAGAAGAAGATTTGGAAGATTATGTTCAAAGACAATTGACAAGATCACGTTCTGGTCATCGTTTAGAACGTGATGCTGAAACTGGTGTATTAACAACCAGACATACACGTAAAGCATTAGCATTACAAAATACAACACCAAATGGTGGTAGTTGTTCAGATAATTTATCACAAGCAGCAACACCAGTTACAAGTGAAATGGTTACACCGACAACGCCAGTTGGTAACTGTAAAATTTATCCAAAAACTCATAAAATAATGCAACATAATTACAACTAAAGAAAAAAATTTATTGCAAATTATTAAAAAAAAAAAAAAAAAATTTTATTAGTCATAATTAAATTAAAAGAAAAAAAATTTTTAAAAATTAATAAAATACACAAATTTGAATTATTTTTAAAATTAATGCATTCGAAATTTAAAAAAAAATAAAAACAAAAAAATTTTTTTAACACAATTAGAAAAAAAAATTAAGAAAAAAAATCACTATAAAAATATTTAAAAAAAATTTTTTTTTTTTTACTTTGTCGCTTGCCTGAAATTTTTATTATCTACTACTATATTATAAAAATAACTATTATAAATAATATTTATTCATCTATGTATATGTGAATAGTCTATATATATCTATATATATGAATGTATATATGAGCATAAATGTATGTGTTTTTATTAATTTCATTTTTATCCTATATATTACTTAACTATTATATATTAAACACTATTTTACTAATTATTAATAATACTAAAAAAAATTAAAGAAAATTTTTTTAAATTAATACATTCGTAGTAGTAAAAATTAGCTATTTTATAGATTTTAGTATATTGTACTAATAAATAAGAGCATTAAAAGAAAATGGCAACACTATTCATACAAAAAAAAAATAAAAAAAAAAATTAATTTTTAAAATCGAGAGTAAATTGAACCAAAAAACAAAAAATTAATTGAAATTTTAACAAAAAAACAAAATCTATGATTACGATTTGAGAAAGTTTTTAAATTAAAAATATTTTAAAAATTAAATTTAATTACATTTTATGTATGTATATATATATACATAAAATATTTGTGTATATATCTACATATAAGATAAGAAATAATTATAAAAAAAATTATGAAAATAATTTTATAATTATTTAAAATTCAAAAAATTATATTGAAATATAAAAAAAAAGCAAAAAAAAAAAAAAAATGATAAAATTGCACGTTTCAAACTCACCAAAATAAAATTTTAAGTGTAGTGTAAAAATTTTCACCATTACATACATAAATTTTTTATTTTGTTTCTTTTACTTTTCTAATTTATTTTTAAAATTTATTATTTCTTTTTCTTATTGATTCCAAATAAATTTAATAATATTTTAATTCATTTTAAATAATTTTATGTAATAAATAACCTTTTGTATTCGAAATTTTCACCAAATAATATAGAGAGAAAGGAAGAATATAGGGATTATTTTTAAAAATTTTCAATTCGGTCATTTACAGTGAACTAGTTTCAAGTCCGAACCCTTAAATTCTGTAAATAAATTTTTACAAAATGAATATCTTTTAATTTTCAAAATCAAATCAAACCGAGAATTCAGTAGTTTAAAAAACTTGAAACTCCGAATTCATTCCGAAATCCGAAAACTATTCCAAGATATCCGAAAGTACCAAAATTCGACTTCAAGATCTGAGAATAAGTAATTTTTACGAAATAAATTTTTAAAGTTACAAACTGCAAACCCAGAAAAGAAATTATGAGTCCGAAATATGCGGCACATATTTATAAAACATTATATTTTTAAAATTATAAGCTCCTAATCCAATTCAGTTTAAAAATTTTAAAAGTCCGAATACGATATTGACTCCTAATTCCGATTCCGAATTTTCAAAAATAAGTTTTTACAAAGTATATCTTTTAATTTTGATCTTCAAACCAAATCACATTTCAAATGATCTAAAAATTGTAAAACTCCGAATGTTGCACTGACTCCGAATTTTGTCAGAATCGGGGGTTTTTATATAAATCTTTGAAAATTAGATTTGTTTTTTTATTTTCCGATTTAGAAATTAAACTCGAACATGAGCAATATTAAAAAGACTAGAAATTGAGGGCTCCAGCTGGACTACTCCGAATGCACTAAAAATTTTATCATGTTCAGAAATTTGCATTAAAACATTATTAATAAAATAAATAAAATTATTTTACTAAAACTCCGAAAATTTTAAAATATTTCTAGAGTCGTTTTACAAAAGGTTTAAATTTATTTGCAAAATTCTATTTTATTTTTTATTTATGTAGTAAAAAACAATTAATAAAAAAAATATATACACATATAATATTTTGCATCATAATTATTATCCATAATTTGCAACAATAATAATTAAATATAACTATACATATATAAAACTTTACTTTCCTTTAATTTTCTATTATTTATTTATTTTTTTCTTTGTATTACTAACTTACTATATAAATATATTAGTCATTAACTACTAAAACTATAAATTATTCGACTTAACCACCTATTTTATATTTATATCTATATATATATGTATATTGCATTGAAAAAAAAAATACAAACTCGCTATCTATATTTACATATTACTTTCAAAATTTGAATTAATCAAAGTTTGCTAATAAAAGTAATTAGAATAATATTAAAAGCAAGAAAATTTAAAAAAAATTGGAAAGTTATATAAGAATACTCAATTCACTAAGAAAAAAATATGTTTTAGGTTTAGGAAACTCTGGTGAAATTCTACTGGAAAAAATTACTGAAGAAGATAGCAGCTATGGTACAAGTGATGATCGTGTTTCATCTGGTATATCACCGACTGGCCCAAATTATGATAAAAAACATCTACTAGGGAATGGTTATATGAGCGCATCAACGCATATAACAAGAATATAAAATTAAATTTTAATTTAAACAAATTACAAATTATAAATATAAAATAATTGAAGTGATGATATTTAAATAAAAAAAAAAAATTATTTTTAAAATTATTTTATTAAATTTTATTTAATTTGAATACATTTAATTTTTGTTTTACTTAATTTCATATGCATATCTATATTATTTAATTTTAATTTTTTTCATATCAAATTAATAGTATATTTAAAAATATATTATATTTTCAAAAATTATTTTATAGAATTATAAAAAATTATATTGAATTGCATATTAAGAAACGCTATCAAAAATTTTAAAAAATTTCGAAAAATTAATATTAAAAAAATTTTTTGTTAAAATTTTAAATTTTTAAATTTATTTTGATTTAATTTAAAGTATAAATTTTACCATAAATTATAAAATATTAAAAACTAAGCTTATCAAAATTAATTAAATAAAATTAGATAATTATTAAAAAGAAAAAATATTAAAAAAAAAATTATAAAAATTGTAATTTATTAATAAAAATATAAAAAATAAAAGATAGCTATAACTATAAATGTAAATGAAAGAAAGAGAAATTGAAAAATTTATGAAAAAAAAAAATTAAAAATTTTGAAAAAAAAAATGAAACAAAAAACAAAACATAATTAACATAAAAAGGCTTATGAAAAGGGAAAATTGTGTAGACTAAAAAAATGAAAGAAACAAAAAATTAAAAATTTATTTTTTATTAAAAATAATATTTTTTTTTTTATTAATTAATATAATAAATATAATATAATATTAGAATATAAATAATATACTTTATTAATTTTAGGCGAATATGGTACAGTCAGTTTCAAAATTTTTTGAATGTCATTAAATGACAAAATATAACGTAAATTGCAGAAAATAACGTAAATTCAAATTAATTTTATGTATATTATTTTTGGAATGTGACAGCAATTATAGAATAGAATAAGAAATTATAAATTTTTGTTTTTATAATTACGATAAATTTACGTTAAACAAGTTTGGTACGATAAGGTAGCGATATACAGTTACTATCAATTAGTATTATACAATAACGTGTAGTATAATTGGATATAAATATTATTTTGCATATTCTATGCTATTTTATAGACCCTGTTGAATAGACCAAACTTTTGAATTGCGAAAATGTTTACTAATAATTTGATTTAATAAGCAATTGCTTTTCAATCGATTCCGAATTATATAATTTCAAAGTCGATATCGAATGATTTTGTTTTAATTTTTGAAATTTTAAGAATAACTTTGTGCCATCAAATAACCAAAAAATTTCTCTCAAATACCAACATTAGTTACAATTTTGTTCAGTTGATTTATTTTCTATAGTCTATGACTGTATCATAACCGTTATAGTATTTACTATTTAATATACTTATATACATAATACATATATATATACAAAATAAATTGTACTTATAATTTTATTTATTAAAAATTTAGTAAAATTTTTTTAATTAAATTTTTAATTTTATTTTCAATACAAAAAAAAATAGAGAGTATATATATATATATATATATGTTTAGTAGCATTAAGGAAAGCTACATACTCAAAACGAAAAAATATAAAACATTTGAAGTTGTCAAAAATATTATAATTGTGGAAAAGAAAAAATTTTTCTTTTAAATTTTTAAAATTTATAATAAAATGTTTAAAAAAATAAAAAATCTAAATTTAATTAAAATTAATTTTAGCATATAAATTTTAATAATTAATAAAATATAAAATTAATAAAAAAAATCCAAAAAAAAAAATGCTCTTTGTCACTCTGTTAACTTTCTTTTTTTTTTTTTTTAAATTTAAACTGTTCAATATTTAAATATAAAAATTATAATATAAGAATAATCAAGTTCCAATTCTTATATACATATCGCTCTTTACGGCAACACTGACATAAGTAATTCAAAATTTCCACTTTTGAGAAAAGTGAATTTCAAAAGTTTTGGAGTCAATTTAGAGAATTGTAAGAGAAAATTAGAGAAATAGCGTTTTTGCACAAGAAGAGAATTGTTTTAAGCTCTCCCATCTCTGTATAAATAATGCAGAAATCGTATTTTTTAGAGTTATGTCACTGTTGCAACCAATGAGCGATAATATAATTTATATACTATTATAATAAATTCATATTTTGTAATTATTTTTTAATTTATTTTAAAAATATTCAAAAATCTTTGTTAACCTTCTTTGTTTGCTTTATTATTTTTATGATGTCCTCTTACTCGTTTTTATGTTTGTTGTTAACCTTAATCCATAAATTATAATTTAAAAATGTACAAATTATATTTTGATAAAAATACTATAAACTCATACAAATCATTTAAATTTTTAATGTAATTATTCTATATTATAATTATATGTATAAAATATAAGTAAGTTAATTGTAAATTTAAAATAATTTATAAAATTTTTATATTTTAGGTATATATATAAATTAAAATAAAAAATACCTTTATGAATAAGGTCTTTGGAATTGTAAATTTTGTAGACGTTTTAGTATTTAAAATCATTCAAAGTGTATTTTTTTTTTCTTAAATTATTTTATTATTATATAATTCAATTTTCTTTTTCATATACCGTGACTTCAGAATTGTAGTTAAACTATTATAGATATATAATTCAGCAATTAGAACTCAATATAAGCTGAATTGTATTTTGTATTAATACATATTCGTAAGAGCGTCTACCAAAATACAATTTTTAACGTCAACTTGACTTATTCAATAATAAAATTTTAATAGCTGAATAAATTTAATTGACGCTAAATGTGCATTTTGGTAAACGTCATATTATTATAATTTTGAAGTCAAAAATACTTTTTATAATAATTACTAATCATATTGTATATATAGATCGTGTAACATTAAATGTTAAATTGTATATATACAATACAAAATTTAATTATAGTATAATAAGAGAACGAAAAATAATCATTTAAATTAATATGCATTTAAAATAAATTATAATAATATTATTCTTCCTTTTAATTCAAATTTTTCTAATTATAAATTTTATACTGCAATATATTATAAAAATATTTTATTTATAAATTACAGAGCAAGTTTTATTATTCAACAAAATATTGTGTTTGCAGTTTCTGCAACAAAAAGTATAAACTCAACTCTCAGCTCTCAGAGAAATCTTCAAAAAGAAAATATTATTATTTATGAGAACTTATAATTTGACAGTTTTTGATGTTGAAGAGCGCAATCTTTCGAAGAAAAAATGGTACATAACAAAGCAAGTAAATTAAACTTTATTTTTCTTTTTAACTTTGACAAAATATTAAAATAATTAATTTATATTTGAGAATTTAAAAGACCCAAGTAAGTATTTTTCAGAATTTTATAAAAATTGAATTTTTGTTTTTAACAAATTTTTATTTATATTTTTTTAATTCATAATATTTGCGTTCCATTTACAATTTCAAATTACTTATGGGTTTATATCATGGTCAATTTCAAAAATAATATTTCTATCTACCGGAAACAAATAACGTAGCTGCACAGATCATCTACGTATTTGTTCGAGGTAATGAAGGTATGTTCAGTTTTGTTTACTAATGAGTAGTATGCATATGCAAATGGAATGGCATGTATTATTTAAAAAAGAAAACAATTAAGGGTTGATTTTAATGCTTTTTGGTAATGTACTCAAACTAACACATAATTACTTCTCTGTAATTTATAATAAACTAAATAAATATAGTATGAGTAATATAAATAAAAAAAAAGTTAACCAAAATATTGCAGATTTCTTTATTTTTTCAATTTTGAAATTAAAAATTTCACAATATTTCAAACAAATTGTTGTTTTGTACCGAAAATTAAAAGGGAAATGTAATACACAAATGTTGAAGTAATGCGTATTTAATCCTTTAAATTCAGCAATGTGAAATAACGACTGATATTGGCTGATAAAATAATAGGTCGTTGTATTAGTGTACATTTTATATAACGGGACTTATTCTGAGTATCGAATTAATAAGTGATAGTAATATTTTATCGTAAAAGTTTCAAAAACTTAATTATGAACACGGGTCATTTGCATGAATAGGTTTGTGTTTACAATAATAATATTAAATTTTCTACGATAATTATCACTATCACTTAGTGATTCGATACTCAAAATAAGCCCCAATATTATAATTTTAATAATAAAATATTTTACGATATTTATAATATTTACGGTATACTTCTCTTTTTCCCAAATTTTTTTCATATTATATGATTATCTCAAAGTTAAACAATCTGCAATATTGATATAAAATCGCAAATCAGTATTTTCCAATATATATACCCTGCCTTTTCGATATACGGTATTGCATACGGTATTATTGCATTTTAAAGGCCCATGCATAGTATTTATGAATTGTTAACTGATGTAAAAAAAAAATATAGCATTTTTAAAACTTCTCCATAATATCCTCTAGTTATTCTAATATTTTGGATTCCACAAAATTTACAATACTAACATATAATATTTTTTATTATTAATATATTATTTAGTTTTATATTAAATAAAACGAATATTAAAAATAAATAATTCAGCTTTAATAAAATTGAAAATTTTTTTACTCTTAAAATTATAATCTAAGAATATACAAGTATATAGAAATAATTTAAAGAAAACAATCTACTTTACATACTTCAAATATAAGTTTATATTATTAATAAAATTATATAATATTGTATTTTTTTTTTATTTTATACACCCTATTTAAAAATCATTTTTTCTAATTTATACCTCTTGAAATAGTAATAATAAAATTACAAAAATAACAAAAACAACAAAAGTATTATTGTAAACTCTTTTAGTATAACAGTTTCATTTATATATTAATTTAAGAGAACAAAACATCAGAAAATCAGCATTTCAGTAAAATCAAAATAAAATAATTAATAAAATTCATTTCCATAATATTCACTAAAACTAATTAATACATTTAAGTTTTACAAAATAACAACAAAAGTACTAAAAAGTACTCAAATTAAATTTCTTATTATCATCAATTTCACAATTTTCAACATGCTCACCATTTTAAAGCCGAAAAAACAAAATAAAATTAAAAAAAAAAAATTATTATTGCATAAATTAATAACAATAATGATTAAACCATAAGAAAAATTAATAATTCACCACAACAATATCATATTCAACATGATAATAATTATAAAAAAACAATACAATACAATATTATTAGTATGATCAATCAAGAAACATTAAAATGCTCAAACCATCTTCTATATATAAATATTATTCACTCACACCATAAGCTTGTGTTTTATCTACATAATTATATTACATGAATATCGTAACAATAATATTCACTTAAAAATCCACCACAATCACCATACTATAAATTTATTATAACTTTAATAAAAATAATTCATTATTCACCACCA